CCCCAAAACCCCAAAACCCCAAAACCCCAAAACCCCGAGGTTAAAAATCAATATTGTGTGGTTAAAAGTTGGATTTTAAATATTTTTCTCTGTAGATGCTAAACTGTCTTTCTTCTCAGATATATTTGTTTTGGATACTTTAAGATCCGCATTATTTCTAGTCTTTGCTTGGCTAGATGTCTGAAGAACATAGTTCACACCTCTTGGTACTCTACTTTGAATCACTTCTGGTCAAAATAGCCCAGAATAAGATTTCAATGCATTTGTATGCTTTATCCTATCAAAATTTCTTCTTTTGGCTTGACCTGAAAGATTTATTTTCTTACTATCTTTATGGTCAACTTCATTCTTAATATCTGCTTTATTATCATTCCAGTATTGCTGGCTTCTTAGACCTCTGCAACTTCTGGCATGTTGGGTCCGCTTATCTTTTCTGATACTTTCTTCAGTAAGGATTCAGTCAAGGTCAAAATTGTTCTTTTTGGGCAAATCTCTTCTATTCCTTGAAGTGGTAGTCCTCATCTCAGCATTGATATCTCTCTTAAGGGCGTGACTGAAGGAGGGGTACTCTTCCTTCAACTCTATTTGTAGCTTCCTCTTGATTCGTCGGAGCTCATTCTTCTTGGATTTCTCAATTAGAGTTGGTACTCATCAACGTAATTCTCCTTTTTATCGATAAATTCTATGTGATAGCTTGATTTTGAGTGGCTATTTTAACTTCTTATTTTGGAAATTAGCCTTCATAAATTCTTCCTTCTCAAATTGCCCTTTCTGTTTGGTTGCCTTCTGGCCAAGCCTCTCTTGAATGCCATATAAATCATTCGGAGCATTTTTAGGAGTATTGCTGGTCTTTATAGGTGTCTTTGATTGAGTAGTGTAAATTCGTAGCACCTTTTTAGTCTGATTCTGTCTGGGTTGGCTCTTACCCCGACTTTCCTTCGATTTACTTGTCTTGACTACAACGTTATTACCCTTGGGTTTATAATCCTTCTTCTTGATCATAAATGGCTTCTTAAATTCTTTGAGCCCATTGAAATTTGATGGATTTTTCTTCAAATCACTAATTTCTTTAAGTTCTATTTCCTTCTCTCCAGTAGGATTAATGTTCTTTGAATGAACACTGTAGTTCTTGTTCCTGATTCTCTCATTAAGATGCATTACTTGGCTCAGCTTCTGATATGACTTCAGTGAAACCGTCCTGGGAATCTGAATCCTATTACTATATCATAATAAGTTACTTAGTGTTCCTTGATTTTATGATTATATGATTTTTCTGCTGATTTGCATATTCTGCAAGATGATGGTTCCTCAATTCTATAGAGTTAATCCTGAGCCCACCTTGCTTCTTATGAAGGCTATCTAGGTAAATCTGTTCCTTATTTGTACATCTCTTTGATCGAAGAGAACTTCTTTAGGTCATTTGGGATAATAATCTTCGATGCCAATCTCATTTTCTTGCCCAGAATCTGGTAATTCTGTGCTATCAAAGTAGTTTCCGAATTAGGCAAGTAGTTGAGTAGATATTTCTAAGAAAAATGATGGTTCAAGGATACCTTTTTCTTGACATCTGCTAAGTCAGAGTTCCTCTGGTCATTGCTTATGTCTTTGAAAGAGTTCCTCTTCTCCTCTAAGTCAGAGTCCCTGATTGCATCATTGTAGACGAATGAGCTTTTGCCAATACTTTCATCTATTGATCCTAAGTGTCATTATTAGAGTGTGAATTTGAGGTTTTACAGATTTTTAGAAGCAAGATCCAACTAAATTTTATGGATCTTCTATATAGGCAGCCAAGCTTGTCTTTTAAAGGATATATAGGAGTTGATAAAGCTTAAGTAATTGAGAAGAGGTTTTAGAATACAAATTTGGAATTTTGGCTGATTTCAAAAATCTTATAGGGGTTTACAGCTATGATGATATACTAGAGAGTCAGGAATCTCATTAAGAGAGGAATAGCATGATCTGGGTATATTGAGATCTGTTTCAAGTATAAAGGGGTCTAGAGGTAGAGTCTTACCATTCCTTATTTTTGATTCCTCATCAACCACATCTGTCAGAAGGCTCAAAGTCTTATCGTCAAAGTCCTTTACTTCAATTTTAGGCATCTTCTTGAACCAAGAAGAGCTTCTCATTGTATTGTCCTTTTTCTCTTCAGGTTGGAATGTATGACTAGCACAGCTAAATCATCTCTTTTTCTTTCTTGAAGAATCATTTTGATTTAACTTTTTGAAAAACTTATCTTTCTTAGTTACCCGAATTGTAGTAATAGCCTTTGAAAGCTTCTTCTGATTGCCTAAACTAGTTATGATAGGGATTACGAGTCTTAGACTTCTTTTTAATCCTTCTCTTAAGTCCAGCCTTGATCCTTTTTGAAGAAAATGAATGCATTTGGGATTTTGAACTTTCATTGACTAAATAAAAATTAAGATCGTTCTTTAGCTGAAAAAAGATATAAAGTCTTACTTCTATCAGCAGTTTCATTCCTGACCTCCAAGATAGCCCGGGTTTGCTCTTGAATCTTGTTATAAGACTGGACTGCTCTTTCTACCAGACTTCTTGGGATCTCAGAGATGCGCCTTTGGATTTTATTTATTAAGTTCTTCTATCATAGCTCTAGTCTTATCATTCTCACTAGTAACTCGCACTGTCTGCCTCCTAGACCCACTCTGATACGGATGTAATTGACCTGAGGCTTTCCTATAGCCTAACGAAGGTAACTAACTAAACCCCTGCACACATACCTCTAAACTCTTTTGAACCTTTACGTTTCATCCTCACATCAGACATAAGTTTCCTATAATCTACATTACCCGCAACAAATATCTCTCCCTGATCGTTCAGGCAGGATCATATAAACTACAGATTGTGCTTACTTCGGTTTGCTAATTTTCATATTTACACCTAATTTTTGATATTTCAATCCGAAATTTTATTAAAGGGGTTTTGGGGTTTTGGGGTTTTGGGGTTTTGGGG